CCTGACAACGAATTTAATTTGCCGTTCATTTTCTGAAAATAGACCTTATCTTCCGGAAAATGTATGACCGGGAAAGAGCAGCTTAATGCAATTCCAATAAGCTCAAGATCGTTCACACTGAAGCAAGACCTATGTGCAACTCAAAAACGATTTTGAGAGACGACTTAGGGACCGAAACTTTAGAAGGAATAGGTATAAAGGTCCGCACAAGGTGGCAGATTTCCGGCATAGACGGTTGGCGAATGCTGGCTGTCACCAGATGATGCTGACCACAGTAACTAAATTGATCATTGCAAAGTCAGCGTGTACTACCCCTATATGGTAACTGCATGCAAAAGGGGAGTAAATTTATGGCAGCCTATGCATAGCCTAAAATATACAGGGGTCTGTTTTATTTAGGGACATGGGGATTGAGGACAAAATCATTTGCCTACAAAAAGTGTCATAGATAATATTGTACGTAGGGCGCATCAAAAAAGTGTAAGCATGAAGATAAAATTGGCTAAAAAATCCGCACTTTGTTAGAACACGGGCTACATGTCCAGTCCTTTGAAATGAATGACGCAATCAGAGGGATTAGTGCGAAACTGAAGATTTTAGATCAGCCATCTCGCAAAGTAGTAATTTGGGACGCTGTGCGTTTGTGTCGTTTCCCTTTATAAATAATAGTGCAGCATCCGTTAGATATTCATATTGTCAACTCGTTTTCAGGATGGGTATTTTGACCACCTTCTGCTTTATTCTAATTATCCATTTCGTAATTGAACACAGAATAGTGGCTGCCGGCTCTTCGATTCTTTTCAAAACAACTATACCATGTAAGACACACAAGGCCCTGCCAATAACCAGCTTTGGAAACATTTCCGAGGGACATACATGGAAGTGGAAACTACTAGGAATGAAAAACTTCTGTTTTTAATTTTAGTATCTGATGGCATCCGTAAATTTGATTATGGCCAGATGTAAGAGGTGTCTCGTAGTTGGATTTAACCAGTAACTGAAGGCCTTAATGCATAAAAATAAAAATCTTTAACGAAAAATTCGAGATATTAAGGATTATCTATAAGATTACGTTGAAAAGAGTAATGGAGAACGAAATCTCATTGTATGAAATCTTATATTGTTAATCTAAAAAACCGAAAAAGAAAAAGTTAACGAACTTAGTGATGTTTGGTGCAGTGCTGAAAGAACAAAAATAGAAGCAAACACGCTCATTGCGCACTTTCAGTAACTGGTTGCTCACAGAAAATAGCTCTTCGTAGGTTAACACAGCGGATAATCTAAATGGTGAGGTTTGAATTCACATGAGCGGTGTTGCTATTTATAAACGAGGCTATCACAGCTCATGGGGGTCATTTTCATTGTGGTTATACATTTGCTCTTCTATGTTTTGAGGAATAGATCGTATTCCCTAGGGTTCATCAGGACTGTGCTCTTTGGTTCCTTGAACCCAGTGCGCC